ATATCGTTTTCTCTTGTTTTAATATTGCGTCATATGTTTTTATTATTTCTTATGGAACTACTTAGTTTAACACATCAGTAAGATAGATGGTGGGTCATTTCTAGGGTTTCTATACCTTCCTCGTACTTCTGGCGGTACTCCATCTTAACCGGATACCACTCGGTGGGTCGACAGGTGCGTCTGAAGCGATTGAAAAATGTTCCAGTGCTCTGAGAAAGGTAATAAATTCCGTAGCCAGGTATTGCCAGAATAGGTAGCCATATCAAAATAAGGTAAATCACGTGAAACTCTAGTGTTACCCAAGAGTGATTAAGTAAGGAGTTACTTATTTCCATCGGCTAGAACATAAAGTATGAAGCTTAAAAGTATAAAACTAATAATAAATATTAGTCCTTAACGAACCAGAAAAATCAGAAAAAAAATTGGAGCTATGAAGCGCAGTATAAAAATCTTCCAGGAGGAAATCGGTTGACCTAACATAAACTCAATATCCCGCTGGAGACGTTCTCGACCGTAGATCCACAAAACCACCAAAAGGAGGAGCAGGTGGAGCAAACTATTTGAGATAATGGAATCAGCTAAGAAAGTGAAAAAGAAAACAATACCATGCTGGAATGTAAAGGAAAGGAATTAGATACTGTTTTAAAAAAGTCGAAGGACTTAAAGTTACATTTTATTAGCCTTAGAAATATTTGATACTTACATTTGTGCAAACAAAAATGGAACAGACTGCAAGCCCACCAATAAGGCCAAACGTAACCTCCCGTTTTCTCACTCTAAGTTCTTCAAACTCATCAAACAAACTTTGTAAGACTGTGAATATTTGCGTCGTCTGCAATGAAATAATATACACATTTTTATTTTATATAGCGCTAAGAACGGTTACGCAAGGCTTGGAACTTTTTAGATTTTTAATTTCGCTTATTGATACCCGTTACTTGTAGAGTAAGAATTATATTGTTCGTTTAATAATACGGGTGTATATATGATTCCGCTAAATGAAATATAAAATAAGTTTAATATACTCACTATCAAAATGATAGCAGCCATTAGTAACGTAGCATAGTAAATGATAGTCCACAAGTTTGGCCAGCTCAAGGTGGACAAAGCACTGGCACTAGACAAAATCATCACCCAAAGGTTAACTACTTCTATTTTATCTGAAGCTTCAGAAAGCTCTGAAACCGTAAATAAAATCTTAATTAACAAGGAAGAACGCTATAGTCGAGTACCTCGACTATCAGATACCCGTTACTCAAAGGGAAATGGAGATATGCAAGCAGCATAGCGAGATTAAAATGCGCCACCTACCGGCGGTAGACAGATTTAAGCGTTATGGGCGTTAGAGTGGGCGTGGAAAATTTATTTTTGGATCAATCGATAGGTATTGACGACACCAATACATTTCAGTTAAAATTTCTTATCTAGCATGTGGGCGTCACAGGTTTTTGCGGTTTGTGGGCGTTTTAGTGGGCGTGGCAAACTTTTTTTAGGTCAATCGATAGGTATTGTTGAGAACAATACATTTCAGTTAAAATTTTCTATCTAGCATAAAAACTGTAGGAGTTACAGTTTTGGGCGGTTTGTGGGCGTTAGAGTGGGCGTGGCAGTCTACTGAAACAAACTTGCGCTGCGTAAGAAGCTCAGGAATCTGTACGCCAAATCTCAATAGCCTAGCTCTCATAGTTTCCGAGATCTCAGCGTTCATCCGGACAGACAGACGGACAGACGGACATGGCTAGATCGACTCGGCTAGTGATCCTGATCAAGAATATATATACTTTGTGGGGTCGGAAACGCTTCCTTCTGCCTGTTACATACTTTCCGACGAATCTAGTATACCCTTTTACTCTACGAGTAACGGGTATAAAAATGGTAATAAATCATAAATAGTGGTTACCTATGAAGTAGTGTTCCACCATGAACGAAACCAAGCCAAACATAATGTAAATAATGATTTGCCCAAAGGAAATAATCCAACTGTACGACATTATGTCGGTTTTGAACCCATTAAAACTGGACAGAGCTATCACACTGCCCCAGCCAGCTCCAAACGCCTGCATAGCAATGAGTAAAGTTGAATAGAAACTTTCGAACCAATCACTTGATTTTGGAGTTGCATATCTGTCCATCCACGAAAGGCCTCCTGGAAGAAAGAGGAAACGCACAAAGCACACTAAAAGAAGAATCAGTGTCCCAATGACCATGTATCGAATAAATTTTCCAAACTTCGCCGTCTCCGGAAATTTATAAAAAACGAATGCGATCACGGCCCAAACTAGAGCGAAGAGGCTAACAAAATGCCAGGATAGTTCATAGTCATCCTTAGTATTTGGATTTCCATTATCTCGCAAACGTTCATATTGATGGCTACAAAATTAAAGTAGGCAGTAGATAAAAAAAATTGTTATAAATTTTTAAAATAAAAGAAGAAAATAGATAACTTAGACAAGCGTTTATATACCCTTGCAGTTAGGGCTAAAACTCATGCAACTAAAATAACTCTTAATCAATATAATAAATAGTATAAATGGACTGACAGTTTCTATAAAAGCTTATGATTTCTTAGACCAATTTTTTTTATTACATTTTTTTTTTGTAATTTATAAAAAAGTAACATTATATTTGTAAAAGAAAAACATAGAATGGAGCCATAGGATAAAGACTAGAAAGAAAACGTTTGGGAAAGTTGTATCTTAATATTTTGTAAACTGGTGTCGAGCTTGCGTAGAAACGGACGGACGGACTGACTAGTCTATAGATGCAAATCAATAATAAATATATTCTTTTGACTCAAATGATAGTGCCTTCTGCAAGGGTATCAATTGAAAATGTGGAAACTTAAAATTAATCGTATCGTACTTACAAAAAATAAAGCACGGAAGGTACATTAAGTTCCATCTTATCTGTGTAGTTTTGAATTTTTGAGTACACCCCATTATTTGTCCCATTACATATCTTTACGAAAAAAGAAAATTGATTATATTTTAATAAGGTTTGTTTGCCCAAATTTCCTACTGTCAATCGTCCAGAGGTCTCATTAAACCAAGATTTTAAGCCTTCACAACTCCAGGGTAGAGTGGGTCGCAAAGAGTTTATTATAAACAAAAGCGGAATAGCAGCGTAAGCGCTATAATAAATGAGCATTGACAAACTCAGGAAAACGCTGACGTATCCCATGCCTTTAAATAAAATTTCAGTATAATATATTTAATTTTCATATAATTGTTTTAAGAACTTACCTTTGAAAAAAGGAGACAGGCGAAAAGCAGAGATAAAGCCGCTGCTGGAGAATTGGCCCATAAAGGAGTGAACGAATATGATTGGAGCCAAACAAATTACCATATATACAAAGTATATTAATACTCCAAGAACTAAGAAAGGAAAAAGATAATAAAACAAGGAAGAACGCTATAGTCGAGTACCTCGACTATCAGATACCCGTTACTCAGCTTAATAGAGATATGCAAGTAGCAAAGCGAGATTAAAATGCGCCACCTACCGGCGGTATACAGATTTAAGCGTTATGGGCGTTAGAGTGGGCGTGGCAAATTTTTTTGGACCAATCGATAGGTATTGACGAGACCAATACATTTCAGTTACAATTTTTTATCTAGCATAAAAATTGTGGGCGTCACAGGTTTTCGCGGTTTATGGGCGTTAGGGTGGGCGTGGCAAACTTTTTTTTAGGTCAATCGATAGGTATTGATGAGAACATTACATTTCAGTTAAAATTTTTATTCTAGCATCAAAACTGTAGGAGCCACAGTTTTGGGAGGTTTGTGGGCGTTAGAGTGGGCGTGGCACTCTACTGAAACAAACTTGCGCTGCGTAAGAAGCTCAGGAATCTGCACGCCAAATCTCAATAGCCTAGCTCCCATAGTTTCCGAGATCTCAGCGTTCATCCGGACAGACAGACAGACAGACGGACATGGCTAGATCGACTCGGCTAGTGATCCTGATCAAGAATGTATATACTTTATGGGGTCGGAAACGCTTCCTTCTGCCTGTTACATACTTTCCGACGAATCTAGTATACCCTTTTACTCTACGAGTAACGGGTATAAATAGTTTCGTGTTTGTTTGTATTATGACACGGGTCTTATCAGTTTTCGTTCTTAAATCAATTAATTGCACAACAACCTCGAAAGATTTAAGTGGTCCTATGTGTGCTATGAGTAAATTGGTCACATGTCATACACTAATCCCATCAAAAGCGCAACGCCCCTAGAAGATTAAGCTCACCCTGGAGCTAGATCGTCATATAATATATGGATAGAGGGATAACGTAACTATACATTATTAATACTTACCGCCCAATTCGTAGTGCAAAGAATATGAAAAATCAAAGACATCCAACTTTAGAGCTAATCCAAGGCAAGCAAATATATAGTCCGTAGGTCTTTCCCACTTCCCCCGATTAGGATCGGGGGAAAAGGGCTTTTGGCCAGTGCCATGAACCATGTTGCAACAGAAATATCAGTCAGTTAATATAGAAGGCTATTTTTAAAACGCTTTTATATTTGGAAAAGTACTCTGGTTTTGCACGGTGATGCCAGTACTTTTATTATTTTTATTAACGATCCACGAGCGTTTTACTTTGAATAGACAGACTTATTAGTAGTGCCGATGTCGGCGAACTGAATCCGAACCCGACTGCAAGTCGCTCTTCAGCTCATCGCATGGGACAGAGATGCTCAATTACATATTATATTTCGGGGTGTCACAGAAATCTCTGCCAACAAAATTTTTTTAAAATAAAGATAAACGGTTTTATACCAAACAAGCATTCAACTTTGTAACACATATTTTTTATAGATCTAGATATTATGTGACACTAAAAATTTTTTGGTAGCTTTATAAAGCAAAAAAACTTATCCATTTAAAAATTTTTAGTCTGCTTCTGTGTGATCTAGATGTCCAAATCTACAAGGAACTACCATCATCCTTCTTAGAACAATTTAACAGTAAACTAGTGTAATATATGAAAAAAAAAATTATTCAATTTTCCTTTACTTTTAATTTATTTATTTAAAACAGCAACAGTGATAAGGATATACGTTTTATTTGTAATTTTGAATTACTACTTAGTTCACATCCTCGGTAACCTCGAAAAGCTGGTGGACCATCTCACTGTTTCCTACAGTTTCGTCGTACTGCTGGCGGTACTCCATCTCAACCGGGTACCAATCGGTGGGTTGACAGATGCGTCTCCAGCGGTCCAGATAGGTGCCAGGGCTCTGGGAAAGGTAGTAGAATCCGTAGCCAGGAATTGCCAGAATGGGTAACCCCACCAGTATAATGGACATCCAGAGGACCACTGCTGGGAAGTGGGTGTGCTTCGCAACGGACACAGCAGCCAGCTAGTAAGGACGCGCTAAGAATTAATGTAACACCAAGTGTATGTTCATAACAAACCAGACAAATGACCAAAATGATTGGAGCCACGAAGCGGAGAATAAATATATTCCAGGAGGGAATCTGTTTACCCAACATGAACTCAATATCCCGCTGGAAACGTTTTCGGCCGTATATCCACAAAACCACGAAAAGGAGCATTAAATGGAGCAGAGTTTGTGAAAAAATAGCATCAAGACTCAACGCGGCAAAATGTATTATGCCATGCTGCAAGAAAGAATTTCGTTTTAACAATACGCAGTTAGAAATGAAAACCCTTGTAGTTTTTGAGACTATTTAAAACATCCCTAAATAGACTTAAATCATTATATTTTTTGTTTATATATTGTAAATTTATTAAATTAGTACTTACATTTGTGCAAAAGAAAAACGAACTAAATGCAAGGACACCTATAAGGCCAAAGGTTACCTCCTGTTTTCTCACACGAAGTTCATCAAACTCATCAAACAAACTTTGCAAGACAGTAAATATTTGTGTCGTCTGCAATAAAAATTAATAATATATACAAACCAAAGAAATTGTTTACTGATAAACAGAATAATAGGCCTAGCTTCGACTGTTTAGTTATTGGTAACAACAAAATATTTTACAAATTATACTCACCATCACAATAAGAGCTGCCATTAATAACATAGTATAGTAAACAAAAGTCCACATGTTCGGCCAACTCAATGAAGTCAAGGCAGAAGCACTAGACAAAAACAACAGCCAATGGCTCAAAACAATTTTGCTAAAGGAAGTATCTGTGATTACTGAAATGAAGAATAGAATGTTTAAGTCTAGTATTAATCTGATTTAAAAAATCTTTAAAGAACTCTGGTGAAAAAAAATAGATTAAGATCCTATCTTGATTCTTGAGTATTGGTTTATTATTTCAGGAAAACTTATGATGTTGATTACCATAGAAGTAGTGGTGTAGCATAAAGGAAACCAAGCCAAACAAAATGTAAATGAAGATCTGTCCGCAGGAAATAATCCAACTATATGACATTATGTTGGTCTTGAAGCCATTAAAGCTGGAGAGGGCTATCACGCTGCCCCAGCCAGCTCCAAACGCATGTAGAACCAAGACAAATGTCGACGTAGCTCCCATAGCCATGCTATCTGCATCAAGATTCCTATCTATTATGTCTCCCAAATGTACTCCTGGAAGATATAAAAACCGCACAAAGCACACTAAAAGGAGAACTAGGGTCCCAATAACCATGTTACGTATAAATTTTCCAAACTTGGCGGTCTCTGAGAAATAATGGAATATAATGGCAATCATTGCCCAAGCCAGAGCAAAAAGACCCACGAAGTGCCAGGATACCTCGTAGTCCATACTGTAGAGCGTTCTATCGTCTTTCAAGGTTTCAAAATGGTTTCTGTAAAAAAAAAAACGAAACGATATTTAAAAAGATTTGAATTTGGGAGCATAATATATACTCACTGAAAGTAGAGTACAGAAGGGATATAAAAAATGGTTAATTCAAAGCTTGTTTCGTTATCGATCTTCAATGTGTTCGCATTCATTGTCAGATTACACGTCTGAAAGTACAGAAAAAATATTATTATTTTTATATTCAATTTTTAAGAATATTTTCCTACAGTTGATTGCCCAAGGGATTCATTGTGCCATGACTTTAAGCCTTCACAACTCCAAGGTAGAGTGGGCCGAAATGAGTTGATAATGAAGAGAAGCGGAACAGCAGCAAAAATGCTGTAGTAAATAAGCATGGAGATGGTCAGGAAAACGCTCACATATCCCATGCCTGAAATATAAAATATAAAGCCCAAAAAATAAACGATCTTCTTAAGGGTACTCACCTTTGAAACAAGGGGATAAGCGAAAGGCGGAGATAAAGCCACTGCTGGAAAACTGACCCATAAACGAGTGAACGACCATAATGGGAACCAAATAGATCACCATATATAAAAAATGCGGCAGCATTGCAGAAACTGAATAAAATGATGAGATATTTAAAGATGACAAAATTCCAAAGCAATAAATGTTTCAGCTAACACATAAATATTTTCAAGTGCTAAGTTTAATTAAAACTTGACATTAATTTTAAATATTTTATAAAATAGTAGCCAATTGTCAATAATAAGATCTGGCTAAATAACTCTCGGCTAATGACTCCTTTTCTTAAATTAATTAAAAATTGTAAGTTTAGGGAAAACCTTTTCGGGTTTATTGAGTTAAATTTAATTTCAGTAAAGCTTCATAATACATTGAGCATGCAAAATACTTATTTAGGCTGAACAATCTTTGTGCCATGTGAAAGTTCAGTTTAGAGAAATATCATTTACAGCGTAACGCCCCTAATAGATTAGGCTAGTTTTGAAACCTTTCAATTGTATTATTTATATATATAATATATTTATTATTTAAACTTTCCGTGTACTTACTACCCGTATCGAAATAAAACCAATATGTGTCTACAAATATATCCATTTTGAGAGCTAATCCAAAGCAAGCAAATAAATAGTCCGAGGGTTTTTCCCACTTTCCTCGATTTAGATTTGAAGAAAAGGGTTTTAGCCCAATCCCATCCGATGACACCATAATGACACAGCAAGCCTAGTATAATGGTAATATCAGTAAAAGTTATTTTGACCGACGTTGATCCGCTAAATTTTTCTTTTAAATTGACGAACCAATTAGTACAACCGATGCAGGCGAACTAAGTCCGGATCCGCTGATTAGCCGCTGCTTGGATCATCCTACCGAACTTACATGCTATTACCCTTTCGGAGGCAGTGAATACTTAGTCGTCAATCATATACCCATTTATACCAACTTGAAAAATACGTTTTATACAGAATAGCCTGTAGATTATTTATACTCAATACCACAATACCACCACAGTACAATTAATTTCCATTTATACTCAAGAAGCAATTTATTTTGAGTGTATGATTTAAATAATAAAATAGAAAGTTGAAAATAATACCAGCAGTATAATGGTATCTAAATATAATAAAAAATCGATCCGTATAAAAATTGCAATGCAATATTTGGAGAAAAAATATTTTCTTCCATGTTTTTATTAAATAAGTATTTACTAAACCTAAACACAATTAATAACAATATTGATATATTTTTGAGAGCAACATGTTGCTCTTTGCGAACACGACAAGATTATAAGATTCTAAGCATAAATGAAGATTGTGGTTCTTTTTATTATTTTGGTCGCTCTTGAACAATCTAGGGGATGGTATTCATAATTTAGAAGGATCAAGTTTTTTATTTCTGGTAGAGTCTTAAAATGTTTGGCCTCTGAAAATAAAAACAAAAATTCTTTTTAATTACAAAAGATGATGCATTTCTGAAATCTTCGCGTATAAGTGTTAATAATCAAGAACTACAATATTTATTTTTGCATACATCTAAATGCAGTGTTTACTTTTTTCTCTGCAAATCCGCCGCGTTTAACACATCGTATGGTATATACTAAAATACAAATATGTATACTGTAAAAGAAAATACAAACTTGTTGCTTACATATTAATTAACACAGCACTGCATTGTTTACCATGAATTAACCGGTTAATGATCTCGGTTATAACAGATGTTACTCTTAAAGAAAATCGCTTTCAAAAGAAATCAAAAGTTTTTTAAAAGAATGGGTGACAGGTGTTGTCATGAGTATTGTTTTTATTTTTTTAAGTTAGCCGAAAATTGGAATTTCCTAATGACATCTCTTATCAGGAAGGCTATAAAATCAGAATAATTTCCTCTTTGACAAAAACTACTAATAAGAGTATTTTCTCTTACTTAACGATTTAAAGCAATCCTCTCTCATTTTAGGCCTTCATCGAAAGAGTAACAATATGTAAACAGATTTATCATCGGTGACGTAAACAATTAATTGTGTTTTTACTAGTCGAATTGTTTGTGACGATCCATAAGACCGCTCAATTTACGGCTGGGCGAATTCCCCAGAATAATAAAGAGCGGTACGAAAGAGAGAGAGCGTTATCTCTCAGGAGAGACCCATTTTCAAGCCCCCACCGATTGTACTTAAAGCCGGTCTCGAATCAAGACGAGCTCATTGTGAACCGCCGCTAGTTGGCGATCGGTCGATTCCCGAGGTCAGTTTCAATGCTAGTATATCAGAGTGACAAAAAAAATAAAGTAAAATAATACATATTCTCGTGTGAAACCTTTTAGTTTGTGCTGAAATATTAATCAAAACAATTATATTTTAGTATTCGTGTCATTCGTTGCAAAATGTTGAGGATCTTTCTGTGCGGTTTCATTTTACAATACGCTCTGCAAATCAATGCTGACGGGTGAGTTCGATTGCTATCATATATATATGTATGTATATGCAAATACAATTGATCACTTATCAGCTTCTCAAAGGAAGCGAGGTCGTCGGAAAGGTTTTCTAAGAAACAAATACTGCGTTTATATAGCACCCAATAAAAATTGTTGTGAGCGGACGTGCAGCCACGTATAAAAATATTTAAGTGTATGGCTTATTTGGTTGTGAATCCCTTTAAACCGGTTGGAAAACCTTGTCGATTCAAAAGCAAATATTATTGCCTTCTTCTACTTAGCTGTAAAATTGATTTTTTTAAGACGGTAAAAGGTTGAAAACACAGCAATTGGTCAACGAAATTTTTTAACGTGTTAGTTTATTTGTAAAGTACTCTGGTTTATAGCGGAATCTTCTTCATAAACAAATTAATGTTTACGGCCGCTTATTAAAAGGGGAATTTTTGTTTGTAGGAAAACAAGGGAAACCCCAATCATTTATATAATTACATATATGTTTCAATGATGAATTTTATTGACCAATATGAATGATATGCGAATGATTTATTACCAGTTTTACTTTACCTAAGCACTAAGATCATGCAATAAAAACTTTAAAGTGTACCGAAAACTTATTTTTCTGTCGGTTCAATAAACAAAAGAAGCTCTATTTTTTTGCATTATCAAAACTCGAAAAGGAATCAATCATAGAGCAGCAGAGTACTGTCAGATAATTAATTACCCAAATATACATGAAATAGCAATTAAGTACTTGAAATCCCGAATTGATAATACCTAGTCACACAATCATCATTACTCAATTAAAGAATAATACCTGTTTTGCAGCCTCTATTCGGTGGTTGGGCCTGGCACCATCCGATCCAACGCCAAGTACAATGTCGCCGTTTCTATCCACAAGGCAGATGATTCCAGTCGGATAAAAGTCAGTCTGAATGGACCCTCCTACAATGAGACCAAGGAATTGATGGTGTCCTCCATGTCCACCGAGGTCGTGGAGTTTGAGGTGCCCAAACTGGCCAACGGCGACTACAACCTCACTGCTGAGGGAATATCCGGTGTTGTGTTCAAGAATACGACCAAACTGAATTATGCGGATGTGAAGCCTTTGACCTTTATTCAAAGTGATAAGGCCACCTACAAGCCCGCTGATCTTGTCCAATTCCGTATTCTCTTTCTGGACGAGGACACTCGACCTGCCACAATTGATAAACCAATATCCGTTGTAATCACAGATGGAGCCCAGAACAGGATTAAGCAGTTTACTGATGTGAAATTGACCAAAGGTGTCTACTCCGGGGAACTCCAGTTGTCCGAGCAACCTGTTCTGGGGACCTGGAAGATCTCCGTCAGTGTCGATGGTGATAACAGGGAGACCAAGACTTTCGATGTGGACAAGTACGTCCTGCCGAAATTCGAGGTCATCGTAGACACAGCCAAGGATGTGGTACAAGCAGATAATGTGATCAAGGCCACAATTCGCGCAAAATACACATACGGAAAACCAGTCAAAGGCAAGGCGACAGTTACGATGGAACAGAACTACGGATACTATGGCGATTCTGAACCTAACAAACAGGAGAAGACTATCGACATCGATGGGAAGGGTCATGTAGAGTTTGATCTCAATGGTCTCCGAAACAGCCAGTTCTCACCCCCCATGAAACTCTTTGCTGTCGTCACCGAGGAATTGACAGGCAACAAACAAAATGCCTCCGCTACAGTTCGTCTCCACCAGCAGCGTTATATGATAGAAAATTTGGAAAAACCCGATCATTATCATAACAACAAGTCGTTTATCTATAGTGTTGTTGTGAAGAACGTAGATGGGTCTCCAGTCACGGGTTCCACGAAAAAAGCCAAGATAACCTTTCAGAATGCGCACCGCTATTGGGGACAGGTTCCCTCTGAGCCAGGCATTAGTTTTGAAGCTCCTGTAGACGAGAAAGGCATTGCCACATTTCAAGTTACGCTGCCCGAAAATGACTCTAGATTCTACCGCATAGTTGCCAATTTTGGTGGGTCAGAGAGCCACGTCGGAACCATCTCAAAGTTTGAACCAACCGTGCAGAGTAGTGAGCCAATAAAGATTCAGGTGAACACTAAAACGTAAGTAGCAAAAAAAATACCATCAAGACGGTACATTACTGCTTAATCTTTTAGGCCAAGATTGGGCGAGCAAGTGTCTTTCGATGTTATATTAAATGAAGAAATGTCCTACTTTGTTTACACTATTGTGGGCAGAGGTAATATCCTGCTGAGTGAAACGATCTATGTGCCAAAGGGTCTTAGAACGATCACTGTTAAGTTTAGACCTACATTTAGCATGGTGCCGAAGGCAACGGTTTATATTCACTATATCTTCAATGGTGACCTTTACTTCGAAGAGAAATCCATTGATTTTGAAAAAGACTTTCTTAACTCGGTAAGTCCACCCTTCCTTCTTAGTTTAAAACTAATCTTCATATCTCCCTCTAAACAGATTGATATTTCGGCTCCAGTGAGTGCCAAGCCCAGTGAAGAGGTCAAGTTACGGGTAAAAACCGATTCCGACTCCTTTGTGGGTCTCCTGGGTGTGGACCAGAGTGTCTTGCTGCTCAAATCGGGAAACGATCTAAGCCGAGATGAAATCTTCAATGGCCTTAACAATTACCAAACATCGACACCCTCGCAACGTGGCTATGGACGTTATCCTGGACAGACCTCCGGACTGGTGACCCTAACCAACGCCCACTATCCCTACAGCACTGGTAAGACCGAAGCTTAAGAAGTACCCTATATATTTTTTTCAGGTAATTTCTTACCGTTTCCTAAGCTTAATGTAAGACAAGGGTTTTTAAGACTAGAAAATTGATGTTTTCAGCTAGATAAACAAGAGCAAAAAAAAAAAATGGTTATACATATGTGAACTCTAATCGAACCTCCATCAGATTTTCCTGACTATGTCGAAGATGATCCCGGAATCTATGCTTTCCAAGAACGTTTTGATGAATACCCATTGGGATTCGTACCCGTAATGCCTGTAGTTAATACCCTTATCTCTGATACTGGGAATACCGTCGAACCGGTAAAGATACGTAAGAACTTTGCCGATGTCTGGATATGGCAATCGATCGGCCGGAGGTGGGTGCCTGAAAACTGATGCCACGTGTTCTGCACCTTAACGCACTGCTATTTCTGCTTTCTAATTTTTATTTCTTGAGCAAAAGCTTCTTTCTAAGGCTGAGGCTATCAATGCAACATATTACTAATACGAGGATATTCTCACAGCTGACCTTTTGATTAGGATAGCATTGTAGAGTTTCAACAGTAATTGATCTACAAAGAAAACATAGAATTCCAGATTTATTATAATGGGATAGGAATTTTTGATAAACTTTCTTGGGTCTCCTTGGTGGCATTCTTCACACATTTGCGATATATTAGCATTTCTCGACTGCAAATCTTAATATCAACCTCAATCTAACTTCCTTGAAATTAAAACTTTAGCCACACCCTATGAGTACGAATACGATGAAGGTATTCAATTTTACAAATTGGAATCGTTTGATGAGGTGGACTCAATTTCTTTAAGCTTACCTAACAACAAAGTAGCTAGAACCAACTTTGCAGAAGTCTGGATATGGCAATCGTTTGTCAACGGGAGGTGCGTTTGTGATTTTCTAGTGCATGCCCGCCATTTGCTTAATGTTTTCACTTACCTAACCCAATCCACAGTGTAGTTTCATCAGCAATGGTGCTAAGCGTAGCTTTTCACATAACATTTTATTATTTTCAGTGTAAATAAATATGTGCAAAATTCCGAAGATTATTTGGTGTAATGTGTATTTCCAAAATAATTACCGGAAATCATAAGGGAAAAATGTACTTCACTAGATTTTAGTTTTTCGGTGGTTATCCTAACAAATTTGGGCGTTAGAATCTGTTTTAGTTTTTATACCTTTATCAAAATTACAAAAAGTCTTTCAAGTTATTCTCACTTAATTGAAGTGCAAATTCAAGAATTAATTTCTCGCGGCGAAATAAGCGGAATTTCTTTAATGATATTTCCTATAGAAATCAAGAAAGCTAGAACAGACTTTGCAGAAGTGCTGATTTGGCAATCATCAGGCAGCAGGAGGTGCGTTTGAGATTTGTAAGTGCATGCTTACTTTTTATTTAAAGTTGCCTACTGGTAGACCTTCTCGGTGTTTTCATATCTTCATCACAAATATGTTATGCATCAGAAATGCAATATAACTAAGTTGATATGTTAACTTTAGCTAAATCAAGTGAAGACGATTATGATGAACTTATTGACATCCGATCAGAAGACTCGATTTCTGATGACGAAGTGGACGAAATTTTAGGAAGTTCACCTAAGAAAGTCGAAGTAGTTCGAAGCCACTTTGCAGAAGTCTGGATATGGCAAGCATCGGCAGACGGGAGGTTGGTTTCAGAGTTTTTGTGCATGCACGACTTTCATATAAAGTTTTCACCTACCCAATCCGACTAAATTCCTTCTGTAGTACTCAGGCTAAGGGGTGTAACTATAGGCTTTTAAATAACACTTATTAATTTATTATTGAACTTGGGAGTTGGTGGTAAAATCGTAAAATTTGTAAAAACGGTGAGTGACATTTAAAAACTAGTTGTTTGGGATCAGGTTTAATGGATTACGAGGACGAAATTGGTTACGTGGTTTAGGATGTTGTGATTTAATGATGTTGCTTAACATCAAAATTCAGAAGTCACCTCCGTCCTCGTTCTTATGTTTTCTCTATTTGCCTCAACGCTAAAAATTAAATATAAATATTACAACCTCCACGATGTGTAGGCAATTTAATAGACCGAAAATGAATTTAAATGGAAGAATGCAATTGTGTTTTCTAGGCTGGATAAACCTTATAATAATTTATATATATATGTATCCCCAATGCAGATTCATTCTCATTCCACCCATTATTTTCCAATGGAGCTTTCCCGATGCCAGTTGCTTTTTCTCTTGCGGCACCTGGGTCGGCATTGGTAGGATTAGCTGGATCTCCACCGATAGCTTCATCTCTGCCTCAAATCCCACAGATTCGAAAAGAATTTCCGGAGAACTGGATATTTTACGATGCCGAAAAGTATGACGGATTTCTAACGTTTTCCTTAGGTCTCTTCACTGTGTATTCTGTGCTGTGGTATCTTTACGCTTCACTTTTAACGCTCTAACATTTACATTTATATAAGCTACTAAAAATCTTCCCCGAACCGAAGTCTAAAGCAACTTTTCTTATAACAAGACCAATTTACTTAGAACCAGGGTACAAGCTGTCGAAAACACCCTTCCAACACCATATTCACAGAATCAGGGAGAATATGCTAAACAATTTATCTTTCACAAATGTATAACAAAAAGTATAAAGGGGTTAGACTCATCATATATAGGAACAAAAATTCATTCCTAATTAAAGTACAATGTTATGTACCTCATAGGAAGACGAATATTCTTTAGACCCTTACGCCCCCAATTTGAGAGACCTTTGCCAGTGGGTAGACTCGAAATTCAAACTACCCTTCCTGAACCTCAGATTCGAAAAGAGTTTCCTGAAAATTGGATATTTTACAACGTTGAAAAGTATGAAAAGCCTAATGGATTAATTTATTTTCTATGTTCCGTTCATGTTTTTGACTAATCAACACCTTAGTAATATTTTGTTACACAAGATCATTTTTTGAACCGAGGTTTTATAGCCATACTACCTAAATACTCGGTTTTCATACCTGATCAGCTTAAACCTATACAAAAACTAATGGGTAAGTGTTATCGACTACATAAAAAGACGAACGCTTATATAGATGTGGGGTTAAAGTACCCTTTTTTATAACTGTTTAAGCACATCCTCACAGTTTTTAACATAAAAACGCTTTGCTATTTAATTCCTTAAATTTCTTTAGTAGTGAAATAAAGCCCACCATAACTTAATATATTGATAAATTAAGGTTTCTACGTGAACAACTTTTACCCGGAAGAAAGGATATCATTTCGAATGGGCACTCCAATGTTTAATGTCGCGTATGCCCAACGAGGTGTTCCTGGAGCAGGGGCTTCTATGAGCTTAAACAGTGTGTTTTCGACCCGGGCTCGTTCAAGGCCAACTGCACCACCAGCAGCGATACGCAAAGAGTTCCCAGAAACTTGGATTTTTGAAAAGTAAACGCTGTTCCTATTGTGCCCTGTAACATCAATATGCATGTCGCCATGACCCCGGGACTAAATCACACTTTCATTAAAGTCGAATTTTGATGACGTTAAATAAGGATATATAACAAAATTTTAAGTAACTTTAAGTAAAAATAATAATAATATTTATTTGTAATTTAGAGCTTTTCCAAGTCTCAGTCAGGCGGGGACGACTTCGAGGAGTGGCTAGAACCAAATACAGACCTCAAATAGTTTTGGTACGACATGAGTTTTCGGAGTCGTGGATATTCTCGAACATAGCACAGTAAAGTGTAAATTTTAATGCCCTGTAATGCAAGTTGCATATGAATCGTAGAGCATGTCCAGATTTTTGAAATTGTAGATTTTAGGAATTTTAAATTTCTCTTAAAGTTAATCTTTCTAGTAGTTATTCCAGTTTCATTATTCACATTACAGGGTGTATATTAGCTGTTTCTTTACTAAATAACGGTACAATTTCCAGGCATCCGCAGGATTTTTTATAGGCCTAGACCATGGGGACACGGTGGTTTCAATCACCATCATCATTATAGTCGATCATCGGCTTCCTCTTATAGTTTTCGTGGGATGAGCTTTGCTAATAAAATGCCAATTGCTCCTTCATATTTTCCCCCGAGCACCACACCTGCGACACCTACAAGACCACCTGCTCCAATTCGTAAAGAGTTCGCCGAAACTTGGATGTTCACGAATAAGACAAAGTAAATCATTGCACTTGAACTCCAAATTAAGTCGTATTATTTGGCCTAGTACTGCATGTTCTCATGGGAGTAAAATCACCATTGCAGCGGTACATACAACATGCTATGTCTTTAGTGGGAGAAATATTTTACAGAAATAATCTATAGATCTTCTGTTATATTTATATTTTAAAAAATCTATCCACTCGAAACTGGGAATCAATGCACAGCGAAATCGACTTAAGTGAGATATTTCTAAAAAAATATATTAAAAATTTTTCCCATTTCAAAGGCGTAGAAAGAAAAAACTTGGGTACTGTGCCCATCATGAGGGTCAGTGCCGAAAGACGGGGTTCTACCAAACAGCGAAAGACTACCCAAAAACCTTATGACCCTATGAGCCAGCCATCTTCAGATGCGGAAAAAATTGAAAACATTATTGCCGTGCGGTCAAAATTTTTAGAGTCTTGGATATACGAATTGCAAGATTTCCCGAAAGAGTAACTAGTTTTCCCTAATGCTTTTTAACTTTTCCCATGCATGTTTAATTGTTCACTAACCATTCACACCCACCTAACACTTTGTGTGTGCGCGTCCAATGTTTTAATAATTATTTTGAATGTTAAGGACTAAGAATTTAATCCAATCAATGTCATATTTACACAGTGTGGATGACGGCGAGTTCACTTTAACCAAGAAGATTCCGGATACGATTACCTCATGGGTGGTGACGGGATTCTCTCTGAACCCCACTTTCGGTATTGCTTTGACCAAGAGCCCTAGCATGATTAGAGTATTCCAGCCCTTCTTCGTGTCCACCAATCTGCCGTATTCCGTAAAGCGAGGTAAGCTTACTCACCAAGTAAAGAATTTTATTATTCTTAAGCTTTATAAAATCCCCAGGCGAAGTAATTGCTATTCCGGTGGTGATCTTCAACTACCTGGATAAGACTGTCGATGCGGAGGTAGTGATGGACAACTCGGATCAGGAGTACGAGTTCACCGAGGCAACCAATGAGGTGTTGGAGAAGGCGATCGATGAGGTGCGCCGGGTCAAAAGGGTCACGATCCCAGCCAACAGTGGCAAGAGTGTTTCATTTATGATCCGCCCGAAGAACGTGGGATCCACAACCCTGAAAATCACGGCCACCTCTCCCTTGGCCGGCGATACTATCCACCAGAAACTGAAAGTGGAGCCGGAGGGCGTAACCCAGTTCGAAAACCGGGCAGTCTTCGTCAACCTGAAGGATCAGCCGGAGATGTCTCAGTCATTGGAAGCCGAGATTCCGAGCGAAGTGGTTCCTCAGTCAGAATTCATAGAGTTCTCTGTGGTGGGCGATCTTCTGGGACCCACACTCCAGAATCTCGACAACTTGGTACGCATGCCCTACGGTTGCGGAGAGCAAAATATGGTAAACTTTGTGCCCAACATCCTGGTGCTGAAATACCTGGAGGTCACTGGTCGGAAACTGCCGGCCGTTGAGTCCAAGGCCCGGAAGTTCCTGGAGATCGGCTATCAGAGGGAACTGACCTACAAGCACGATGATGGCTCCTACAGTGCCTTTGGAAAGTCGGATGCTTCGGGCAGCACCTGGCTTACCGCCTACGTGATGCGGTCCTTCCATCAAGCGGGAAATTACACGGATGTCGATCCTAAGGTCGTCACTGCGGGTCTCGATTTCCTCGTTTCCAAGCAGAAGGAGAGTGGCGAGTTCCCTGAGGTGGGAAAACTCTTTGACAATGCCAACCAAAATGCCCTGGCTCTCACTTCGTTCGTCCTTCTAGCCTTCTTCGAGAATCATGTAAGTCTACTGCACATTAATATAAGTATCATTATCAATACTTTAATGTATTCTTATACCAATTTTTGATACCTACTAAAAAATCTACATACCACATTTATAAATACCTTTTTTGTGGGAAGATCGTTTTAACCGCTTAAAACCATGCATTATTTCTTCATCAAAGAAATACCGTGAGTTCTACATCATAAAAGAAACAAATATGGACTATGGTAAAACATTTGTTAGTTCTTACCATTTAAAGCGTTCATGTGTTCTTCAACAAAATCAAACCGCGAATTCTTCAGAACAAGAAAAACTTATACTTACCACACTAACATTATTGATCAGTTTATCAATAAGATTTAAATTTCTAATGTTATTATCGAAAATATCAAGTTAATATGAGTCATCTATAAATTACTTTAGTATCTGTATTGAATAGAAATTATTCTTTCATTTCTCCAGGAACTGACGTCGAAGTACCAGTCGACGATTGAGAAGGCAGTTCGCTATGTAGCCGAGGAGACCGACAAGACGGACGACCAGTATTCCCTGGCCATTGCCGCCGTAGCCCTTCAACTTGCCAAGCATCCGCAGGCAGAGAAGGTCCTGGCCAAGTTGGAGAACATGGCCCGAAACGAAAACGATCGCAGGTGGTGGACTAAGGCTCCGGAATCTACTGGTGAAGAGGGCCGATTCTTCCACTGGAAGCCTCGCAGCAACGACGTGGAGATCACCTCCTACGTGCTACTGGCTCTCCTCGAAAAGGATCCGGCGGAGAAATCGCTGCCCATTATAAAGTGGCTGATCTCACAGCGAAACAGCAACGGAGGATTCTCTTCCACCCAGGACACGGTGATTGGACTGCAGGCCCTGACGAAATTTGCCTACAAAACGGGTTCTGGATCAGGCTCCATGGATATTGAGTTTGCCCCTGCGGGTGGATCAAAGGACACGATTAAGGTCAACCCTGAGAACTCACTGGTGTTGCAGACCCACGTCCTGCCTAAGGACACTCGCAAACTGGACTTTACGGCCAAGGGCACTGGATCTGCGATGGTCCAGCTGTCCTACCGCTACAACCTGGCTGAGAAGGACAAGAAGCCCAGCTTTAAGGTCACCCCGACGGTCAAGGACTCATCGTCCAACCAGCTGCTGGTGGTGGACATCTGCGCCGAGTACGTGCCCTTGGATGAGGCCGACAAGGAGAAGGACTCCAACATGGCTGTCATGGAGATCGCCCTGCCCTCCGGGTTCGTTGGAGACGCCAACAGCTTGGAGAAAATCGAGGCTGTGGACCGGGTGAAGCGCGTCGAGACCAAGAACTCCGACTCCACGGTGATTGTCTACTTCGACAGCCTGACCCCCGGAGATGTCCGGTGCCTGCCGGTGGAGGCCACCAAGGCTCATGCGGTGGCCAAGCAGAAGCCAGCCTCTGTTTCCCTGTACGACTACTACGATACAGAGCGCAAGGCCACCGAATACTACACGGTGCAGTCGTCCCTCTGCGACATCTGCGAGGGCACCGATTGCGGAGAGGGTTGCAAGAAGGCCTAACGGCTGGAGTGGGACGAACTTTACTGATTTCCACCCATAATAGTTCCAAGCTTTGTAATCTTTGTAATAAATGGACTAATAAAGTGCACATTCCAATTCCTTTGAATTATTTAAAACATATAATTTCTTGATCAGAACACACTAAATTCATTATGGTTACAATTCCATTTTTTGGCCATACTCTTCGTTGAGCAAAGAATGGTGCATTTTTTTTTTAATTACAAAATTTTAAAAAAAAAATTGAAAGAGGTGTAATATCACTATCCCTGCTCATCTATAAGTCTGAAAAAAATGAAGTATACAATATCCAATACAAGGAAAACCAAAATATATATATTTACTTACTTTTGAACGTTGTTTATCAACAGTTCGACTATAATATTTTCCTTTTGCATTATCCTTAGGAAGTTTTTTCGTGCACTAGGGCTGACCATTATATGGACTTCGTGCAATCTACGATGCCACAAGTTATACTAGAATAATAAATATAATATATAAAGAAATAAATAATACATTTTCTTGATTGTGAAACTCACATTATCGGTTTGCTCCAGGAGTTGGTCAATAACCTGTTGGTCCGATCGAGTTTTAATAAAAACCTTATACACTGAATAGTTTTCATAGGAACGAGGTGTTGAAACTGACAAGTTGCAGGCACCAGCCGCTATGAACAGTAACAACGCAATCAATGGACGCATTTCGACTAAACTGAATGACCTATAAAAGGAAATTTTATATCTCTGTTCTGAGCGGTCTATTTAACCAGCTGGGCTTTTTTAATGAAAAATATTAAATAAAGAAAGAGACAACAGATTACATAATATTTGTGCGATTTAAATAAAGCTCCTAGTTAATTTTGTTTATTTGTGCATTTCCCCTTCCCGAATAGCGACCCCATTAAGCAGAAGCACGGCCAAGCCGTTTTTTCCAAACATTCCAGTGGCGTTTCTAGGGGTTATTTGTGTACCCTAGCTCAGGGTAGTATAATTTTCGTCCCAAAATTGTAACGAAGTGAAAGCATTTCCCAATTAAGCAACATCCTTTAAAGAATCGGAGAAGATATGATAGTTTGGGCTTGCCAAAGTTACCTAACTAATTTTTTAATTTCAATAAAATAAAAGAAAATTCTTTCTTTTACGATGGTTGAAAATAAATACCTTTTGGTAATAATTTTTTTAGGTAGAGCTGTAATTTTAATGAGTCTCTAACGTTAATATAAAGCTTTCGCAGGTTGTAAGCGGCAGTAAATGAAAGAATGAGTATACGCGATCTTATACATAGCGCTTCTTATCTTAACATTGAAATGTTACCTTTCCTTTCATTGTGTAAGCATTATGAGATTATGCAGTATATATTAAGAATGTTGTACGAACATACATCCAAATTTACGGTATAACAAAAAGAGCTGTAGCATGCTTTACGGCCCTTTTGAATAAAATTTAAGAATTGTGAGAGCCGCAAAGCAGACTTCTAAAGCTGGAATGTTAAGTAGGAAAATATTTGTGAGCGTTAGTTTAGAAGGAGTTGACAAGTCTCAAAAGAAACTTTGTAAACCTTTAAGTATGGGTAAGATTCTACATATATAGACGAACAATTTTTGCTCATTGATAAGGCGCTAGAAACACTTATATTGATCGTTTATTAGTAAGCTCCTGTACGACTATCTTTATAATCCAATTATGAGCCGATCGATATAGCAATCGTCTGGCATTTATTTGCGCAAAATAAGTAGTCGCTCACCGCTTGCTCAGCACTAAGCATGGCATTAAATAGTTTTCTTATAGCTCTGGCATTGGTGGTCTTGGTCCAAGGAGCCAGTTTTGGCCAGGACGAGAGGGTGCGCTATGATAACTACTCGGTGTATAAGGTCAAGTTTGAAACTTCCGAGCAGAGAAGTCTCCTGAAAAAGTTGGTGGAGGATCGGGAAAAAGTAAGTTAGCAAGATGTTATATCATACAAAACAGATAGTAACCTTTTCGTTTAGTTTAGACTGTGGCAAGAGGCCCAGGATGAGTTGCACCTTATGATAACTCCAAGTGCCTTGGGCGAACTCGAGACTGTGATCCGGAAAACCAATTCCAGTGCAAAACTGTTTATAAGTAACGTGCAGGAGTGAGTAAAGTCCAAGTATTGGTTGATAATGTGATTAAAACCAAATTTTTTTCAGGCTCATCGACTTGGAGGAAGAAGCCAATATTAAAGCCAGCAGAGATGGCTCCTTTGGCTGGACAAAGTACAATTCGCTGGCAGAGATTTATGCATGGCTAGACGAAATACTAGTCGCATATCCCGCGATAACGGAGAGCTTTATCTTGGGTCAATCTTACGAGGGTCGCACAATCAGGGGCATTAAGATCTCCTACAAATCGAACAACCCAGGCGTGTTTATTGAGTCCAATATACATGCTAGGGAATGGATAACCTCCGCCACAGCCACCTGGTTGATTAATGAGTTCCTTACTTCCACGGATGAGTTAGTTAAGGATCTTGCCCAGAATCACGATTGGTATATAGTGCCCGTGCTCAACGTGGATGGTTTTGCTTACTCACATGAGAAGGTAGTATTATATTTGTGAATTCCTGATCATTTATATTGATATTCATTACTTTCAGGATCGTATGTGGCGCAAGACTCGTCAACCCTCCGATATTTCCAGTTGCGTTGGTGTAGACCCAAACCGCAATTACGACTCGCATTGGATGGAGAACGGTGGTGCTTCTTCGGATCCCTGCGCTGAGGATTACGGTGGCCCGAACCCTTTCTCTGAGCCGGAGGTCCAGGCCTTGGCTGACTTTGTGAGCAGCAACAAGGACAAAATCAATGTTCTGCTGGCCTTTCACTCGTACAGTCAGCTCCTGCTTTCTCCCTATGGACACACTGAAGAAGAGTTTCCACCCAATTTCGATGACATGATGGAGGTTGCTAAAGCCTTTGGAGATGCGGTTGAGAGTCTGCCTTACGGCACTGTCTACAGATATGGCTCAAGTTCGGGAATTCTCTGTAAGATGATAAAGCAACGATTGCATTTTCTCATATTTAATTTTTAAAAACTTATTTTAGATCCCGCCTCTGGAGCCACCATCGATTGGGCCTACAACGAACAAGGAGTAGAGATATCATACACCATCGAGTTTAGGGACACTGGTCGATATGGATTCATTCTACCCCCGGTTCATATTATTCCGAACGCAGAGGAGGCATTGGTTGGCATTGTGGCCCTTTTAGATAAGTGTGAAGAGTTGGGCTATCTTAAGCTGAAGTAAGTGCTGGGAAATTCAATAAGCCATAAAACAATAAAGACTAGCTACTGATAATCACCAGGTTGAGTTTATTTAGTGTTTAGCCAGTTAAACCCATTTCAGTCGTTGTTCAAAATGCGTCTGCTTTGGTTGCTTGCCACGCTGGTGGCTCTAACAAGTGCTGGGATCCTTAAGGACTCTCCTAAGGAGCGTTATGATAACTTTAGGGTTTACAAGTTGACTATTCGAAACAAGATTCAGTTGGCAGCGATCGAAAAAATTAGCGAACTGACAAAGAAGGTAAGCTTTTAAGAGCCAGAAATGAGAAGGCATTATTAACTCTTCTTGCCGTCGCTTAGTACAATGTATGGAAGGAGTATGACAAGCGTTCTAGACAAATGGATATTATGGTTAGTCCTGGGGAGCTAAAACACTTCCAGGAGCTTCTAAAGTTCAACAATATCACCAGTGAGCTAATGATCGAAAATGTCCAAGAGTAAGTAGAGGAATGTGACACACACTGAGGGTTTAAGCCACTCGAGACGATAAGATCGCTCGATTAGCTAACCATTAGTGCGTGCTCATTGGAGGCCATAAATATAACGATCGGATTCCGGTTTAGGCGTATCGACGAGGAGCAAGTCACCGCTACTGCTGATAGCGCCACCTTTGGCTGGACGAAGTACTACGAGCTGGAGGAGATTGAGGCTTGGCTGGATGGAATTTTGGAAGCATATCCCTCGGTGACTGAGGAGTTCATTGTGGGCCAGTCCTACGAGGGACGCAATATTCGGGGCATCAAGATCTCCCACAGGGCCGGCAACCCAGTCATTTTCATCGAGTCAAACATTCATGCCAGAGAGTGGATAACTTCGGCCAGTGCCACGTGGTTCATCAATCAGCTTTTGACCTCAGAAGATTCCGATGTACGGAATCTGGCCGAGAACTATGACTGGCACATAATACCCGTCTTTAACGTTGATGGCTTTGAGTACTCGCACAAAAAGGTGGGTGGGGCCACCATGTTTTTACTGATTGTTCGAAACATATTTGATTTTTTTAATCTAATCGTCTCCAATTCCAGGATCGTATGTGGCGCAAGACACGTCAGCCACATGCCACAAATGCCTGCATAGGAGTTGATGCCAATCGGAACTTCGACTCCCATTGGCTGGAGAACAATGGAGCTTCTTCGAATCCCTGCGACGAGACTTTTGCTGGGGATACGCCTTTATCTGAGCCAGAAGCCAAGGCCCTGGCCGATTACCTCACCCAGAACAAGGATCAAATTAGTCTGTACATATCCTTTCACTCATACGGACAATATCTTCTATCCCCTTACGGACATACCGATACGGAGTTCCCTGAAAACTATGCGGATATTTTGGCAATCGGCAAGGAGTTTGCAGATGCCATCGAAGCACTGCCATATGGCACTGTCTACCAATATGGATCCACAGCTGATGTGCTTTGTAAGTGTTTATTAATATGGTTTGAGATATTGAACTAAACAATTGATCCGTATTTTTTTATTTTACATAGATGTGGCCACTGGAACCTCAGTTGACTGGGTGTTCAATGAACTGGGCGTAAATATCGGCTACACAATCGAGTACCGAGATAAGGGGCGCTACGGATTCATCCTACCCCCCGTTCAGATCATTCCCAACTGTGAAGAGCTGATGGTTGGAATGCTGGCTTTGGTTGAAAAGACCAAGGAGCTGGGCTACTTGTAAGAGCACGATTTATTTTGGTAACGAGTACGTCGTTTAGACATTTTCATTAAAATACCTCACGTATGAGGCCAGCAAGTCGTCCATTTTGTAACCTTGGGTGGTGCTACACAGCAGCTTCGAGGCTCCGATCATATTACCGAACCGGATGTGGAAGTGGTTTTTGCCTGAGCTCCAAATGCCTAACTGGGAGTACTCGTAGCTGCGAAGGGTCTCTTTGGTTTGCGGGTCCAACAGATGGAATCCCGAACTGTTGATGGCGACTAGCAACGTTTCCGGAAGGGTATCGTCGTTTTGTTGCTTCACCACAAAGAAAGTGGAGCCGAAACAAGAGAAATGCGAAAGTTCCTGAAGGAATTGTAGCTTGGCATCATCCTCAGTCAAATGGTCGCGATGGAGTTTTGGCAGGATTTGTTGCCTCCACTCAGCCACCGTTTGAAGGGGTATCAAGTCCTCTGGTACCAAACGTGGCAGCACTTCCGGCAGCCTCTGCAAGCTTACGTCATGATCCGCACTGTACACAAGACCGGCGAGAAGCGAGGCCTGCTCGCAATCGATGGGATAGTAGCCCTTCAAGTACTTGTGTAGCTCTTGGGGATAGCTGAAGATCACATCTCCATTCGGGTCATCCCCTGGAAGGTTGTTGAGCCACAACTTCCTCATAAAGTGCAGCTGGTAGTGACCGTCTGAGATAGAGCGTACGGTCTTCTGCTGCCTTAGCCAGTAGATTAGTTGGGTGATGAAATCAAATACAAAATCCTCCTCTGGCATGGCATAGACTCTGTCGCCTGTCTTTAAGAAAATACTATAGCCCACCGCCGACTTGAGCTCCAACCGATGGGCTATGTCCGCTATGAGCTCTGCTCCCCCGGTGTGTGATTCGATCTCGAAGGCTTCAACTGTATCATCGGGGAAATATATCTTGTGGTAGATGTGCAGGCAGCGCTGCTGAATGCCCTCAACCTCGATGAGATGTGGAGCCTGTTTCCGTTGACCCTGGGCCAGGGATCGCTTTAAGCGCTTGAGGCATGCATCTGCGAGGGCATCTGCACGCACGCGCAGCAGGATGATCAGCTCCCTCATGACAAGGACACTGGGAGCCACCAGCCCGGTGGCCAAGTAAAGCAGGTCCCAGCCCCGCTTCTCGCTTTCAATCGAAGGGTTATCGGTCAGCTGCTTCATCAGCTGGCAGTACAGCTCATCACACAGAAGCGGATGCTGCAGGGCGGGCTGGAAGATGAGGTCCGTGTTAACCGGCAGATTGTTCCTTGCTATGTCGCCCATGTACTATAAGAATAGGAAATGTTGATTAAGAGATACTTCTAAGGGCTGATTACTCAATGTCAGGTTAACGTTCTGGTTTGTTGTCTGTCAGACAAAGTTAACAGAAAGTTCATTTGGTCGGAATAACTGATTCGTTTTCTCAATGGAATATTCATTTAACGAACGTCAAACTTGTACAGAAAATGTTCTTAGAACGATGCCTTAAGTCAGGCGTAATCTAACTAGACATTAGCACGAGGAAAAAAGTTAATATGACATTGAGAAATCACCCCAAGAGATGAAATTTTTACTTCTTTTTAAACCTTACCTTAAGAATGTGATGATGAATAACCAGAGCTTGTTGGAAAAGTGGTGGCACCTTAACTACAGCTTTAAGCAGAGGAGCCTTCAGTGGCTCAGGCGAAAACTTTGAGAGGGAAGCCTTATCGGAACTAAAAGAAAATAGAACATGAAAACATACTAAAGCCCACTAACTGGTTTTATCTCACTCTAATGGCTCCCTGAATTGTGTCTCAGCCAGCTGAGAGATATTGTGTTGACGACGTCGCAAGTGATTGGCTCTTGGTGTTGGTTTCGGTGGTTCTTCAAACCTGCCCTCCTTTAAAATATCTTGCAGTTTTTCGCTGGGTTTGGTGAGGGTGGCCAAAATGCGAACATTTCCAGCAGCAAACTGACCCCAATGTCCATTGACACAGCCCCTGTAGCAGTCTTGGGGATTGCCTTTTAGTAACTGTGCACCTGTTACACCTGCCTCGAGCTCGATGAGGTCACCGGGGGATAGTGCCAAGAAATCCTCTTGATCTCCCTCTGCGACCTGATCAAGAGCCACTCCGTAGCTCGAACGCTGACGGAGATTATCTAGCATGTAGTTTATCACCTCGTTGGCGTCCTGAGCTGTGCTGCACTGCAGTACAAAGTTGACGTGTTGGAAGGTCATCACATGCAGTTCATCATTAGCTTCCAAATTAACTTTTAGCAGCTCGCCGAAACTACAGGAGGCCAGCACCTGTTCGGTTTCGTCTATAAGGAAAAGACCAGTGGAATTGATGCCCAGCATCAGTTCGTCACTCTGGAGTTTTGGTCCCTCCTTGCGAACCACTTCAAAGAGTCGAGAGTGCCTCATGGGCCAAGTAAGGTGGGCAAACAGGCAAATATCCTCCTTGGCTCTCTTCTGTGCCTCCAAAAGTAGGTCCTTCTGTTCTTCCCTTACATAAGAGCTCTTCTCATAGGTGACGGCGATTAGGCGACTCCAGTTCTCAATAGCTCGCTCACCGGGTGCCAGGAGATCGCTTGGCACAAATGCAGTAATCTCCGAGGGTTTCAGCCGAAGGATCTCCCCGGGTCCGTGTTCTATAAAGCAGGCCAGGGCACACACCATGGCTATGTCCTTCTCAGAACGACAACGATACTCGCCGCACTTCAAACCGTTCAGGATTTGCTTGTATATGAGCTGAGTGGCCTTGGGATCCACTGACGGATCATACCAGGTGGCAAACATTTCCTTGCGGAGGTAAAGCTTCCAAGGGGCATCCAGCTGACGTTGCTCACACTCCGAAATGGCATCTAGTATATGCTCCTGTCCAGCTCCGAGTGGCATTAGCTTCCCGTTCAATGACATCACCAGTCCAAACCCAAAAGTATCGGTCAGTCCCAAACCCTGACACAGTTGATGCACTGCCTCTCGAGCTGTGCTGGCCGCATCCACCTGCAACCTCCTCTGATGACCATCCATCAGGTGAATGTCCAACTTGAGGGGCTGACGACCTCGGATGGCTTGAATTTCAAATAGGCTTGGTGGCTGACAGCGGGGTCCATTCAACAAAGTTCTCTCCAAACGCTGCAGGGAAGGAGCGGCCTGCAGTTGGGCAGTTCCCTGCTTCATAAAACTACGCAAGTGTGGCTCAAAATCGCTGCTGGGTGCAAAACAGCTCAAGCAAAGTGAAAGTAGCAACCATCCACGGGAATAGGAACTCCTACTAGGGTTAAGATATAGCTGCTTACAGATCTGAGCCAGGATTTCATCTCTGTAATTATGATTGTTAAGTTAAATTCGCTACA